CTTCATCATTGACCTTCATCAATGTGGCTTTAATCCATGTGACCTTCATCCGTGTTTCTGTCATCTGTTTTGCCTTCATCCTTGTAGCCCTCATCCATGTGGCCTTCATCATTGTTGCCTTCATCTGTGTTACATTCATCATTGAGGCACTCATCCGTGTTGCCTTAATCGATGAGACCTTCATCCTTGTGGCCTTCATCCGTGTGGTCTTCATCAATGTGGTCTTCACCGTGTGATCTTCATCATGGTGGTCTTCATCTGCGTGGCCATCACCCGTGTGGCCTTCATCCGTGTGACCTTCATGTGTGTGGCTTTCATCCTTATGGTCTTCATCCTTGTGCTCTTCATCCTAGTGGCTTTCATCCTTGTGGCATCCATCCTTGTAGTCTTCATCAGTGTGGCCTTCGTCAATGTGGTCTTCAGTCTTTTGGCCTTCATCCATGTTCTCTTCAACAGTGTGTCCTTCATCAGTGTGGCCTAAAGCTATGTTTCCTTCATCTTTGTGGCCTTCATCTTTGTGGCCTTAAATATTGTGGTCTTCATCCTTGTGGCATTCATCTTTGTGGTCCTCAGCTTCGTGATCTTCATCCCTGTTGCCTTCCTTCTTGTGGCCTTCATTCTAGTTGTCTTCATCCATGTAGCCCTCATCTTTGTGGTCTTCATTCTTGTGACCTTCTTTCATGAGGCCTTCATCCTTGTGACCTTCATCCGTGTGGTCTTCATCCTTGAGGCCTTCATCGTTGTGTTCTTTATCCATGTGGCTTTAATCCATGTAGCCTTCGTCTTTGTGCTCTTCATTCTCGTGACCTTCATTCTTTTGGCCTTCATCCATGTGGCCTTCATCATTGTGGCCTTCATCATTGTGGCCTTTATTTGTGTGGTCTTCATCTTTGTGGTCGTCATCCGTGTGGCCTTCATCCGTCTGGCCTTCAACCATGAAGCCTTCATCCTTGTGCCTTCATCTGTGTGGTCTTCATCTTTGTTGTCTTCATCCGTGTTGCCGTTATCTGTGTGGCCTTCATCATTGTGGTCTTCATCCTTGTACCCTTCATCCTTTTGGCCTTCATCCATGTGGCATCCATCCTTATATTCTTTATCAGTGTGGCTTTCAATAATGTGTTCTTCATCCTTTTGGCCTTCATCCTTGTTGTCTACAACAGTGTGGCCTTCATCCGAGTGGCCTAAATCCGTGTTTCCTTCATCTGTGTGGCCTTCATGTGTGTAGCCTTCGTCCTTGTGGTCTTCATCCTTGTGACCTACATCCTTGTGACCTTCATCCTTGTGTCCTTATTTTTTGTGGTCATCATCCTTGTGGCCTTCATCCTTGTTGCCTTCATCCTTGTAGCCTTCATACTTGTGGCTTTCATCCTTGTGGCCTTTATCCTTGTGGCGTTCATCCTTGTGACCTTCATTCTTGTGGTCTTCATCCTTGTAGCCTTTATCCTTGTGGCCTTCATCCGTGTGGCCTTCAACCATGTGACCTTCATACGTGTGGCCTTCATCCATGTGGTCCTCATCATTGTAGTCTTTATCTGTGTCGCCATCACACGTGTGGCCTTCATCCGTGTTACCTTCATCTGTGTGGCCTTCATCCTTGTGGTCTCCATCCTTGTGTCCTTCATCCTTGTGGCCTTCATCCTTGTGGCATCCATCCTTGTAGTCTACATCAGTGTGGCCTTCGACAGTGTGGTCTTCATCCGTTTGGCCTTCATCCATGTTGTCTTCAACAGTGTGCCTTTCATCCGTGTGGCCTAAAGCTATGTTCCCTTCATCTGTGTGGCCTTGATTGGTATTACCTTCAACATTGTGGTCTTCATTCATGTGGCCTTCATCCTTGTGGCATTCATCTTTGTTGTCTTCAACCTCGTGATCTTCATCCTTGTGCCCTTCCTTCTTTTGACTTTCATCATAGTTGCCTTCATTCTTGTAGCCCTCATCCATGTGGTCTTCATCCTTGTGATCATCATCCTTGTGACCTTCATTCATGAAGCCTTCATCATTGTGGCCTTCGTCCGTGTGGTTTTCATCATTCTTGTCTTCATCAGAGTGGCCTTTATCCGTATGGCCTAAATCCGTGTTTCCTACATCTGAGTGGCCTTCAACCGTGTGGCCCTTATCCGTATCGCCTTCTTCCTTGTGGTTTTCATTCATGTGGTCTTCATCCTTGTAGCCTTCATCATTGTTGCGTTCATCCTAATAATTTTCATTCGTGTGGCGTATTTCCGTGTGGCCAACATCCATGTCGCCCTCAACTTTGTGGTCTTCATCTTTGTGACCTTCATCTTTGTTGCCTTCGTAAATGTGGCCTTTTTCCGTGTGGCATTCACCAGTGTGGCCTTCATCCTTGTGACCTTTGTCCTTGAGGCCTTCATCCGTGTGGCCTTCAATCTTTTGGCCTTCATTCGTGTGGCCTTCAACCTTGTGGTCGTCTTCCTAGTGGTCTACATCTATGTGGCCATCATCTGTTTGGCCTTCATCCATGGGGCCTTCATCCTTTGGCCTTCACCCATGTGGTCTTCATCCTTGTAGAATTCTTCCATGTGGTTTTCATCTGTGTGGTCTTCATCCTTGTGGAATTCTTCCATGTGGCCTTCATTCGTTTGGCAATCATCCTTGTGGCCTTTATATGTGTGATCTTCAGCCATGTGGCCTTCATACTTGTGGTCTTCATCCTTGTGGCCTTCATCCGTGTGTACTTCATTCTTCTGGCCTTCATCCTTGTTGCCTTCATCTTTGTGCCCTTCATCCTTGTGACCTTCATCCTTGTGGCTTTCATACTTGTGGTCTACATCCTTGTGGCTTTCATCCCTGTGACCTTCAACCTGTTGGCCTTCAACCGTGTGGCTATAATGCTTGTGGTCTTCATCCGTGTTGCCTTCATCTGTTTGACCTTCATCCTCGTGGCGTTCATCCTTTTATCCTTTATCCGTTGGCATTTATCCGTGTGGCCTTCATCCGTGTGGCCTTGATCCTTGTAGCTTTCATACTTGTTGCCTTCATCTATGTAGCCTTCACACGTGTGGCCTTCAAACTTGTGGCCTTCATCCTAGTGTTCTACATCCCTGTGGACTTTATCCATATGGCCTTTATCCTTGTGGCCCTCATCCGTGCGGCCTTCAAGCTGGTGGTCGTCATTCTATTGGTCTACATCTCTACGGCCCTCATCCGTGTGGTCTTCAACCTTGTCGCCGTCATCCTAGTGGTCTTCAACCTTGTCGCCGTCATCCTAGTGGTCTTCATCCGTTTGGCCTTCATCATTGAAGTCTTTATCTGTGTGTCCTTAGCCCGTGTGGCCTTCATCTGTATGGCCTTCATTTGTGTGGCATTTATCCATGTGCTCTTCATCCAGTTGGCCTTCATCCTTCTAGCCTTCATCCGTGTGGCCTTCATCCTTGTGGTTTTTTTCCATGTGACCTTCATCCGTGTGGCCGTCATCCTAGTGGTCTTCATCTTTGTGGCCTTCACCTTGTAGTCTTCATCCATGTAGCCTTCATCATCGTGGCCTTTTTCAATTTTTCCTTCATCCGTGTGGCTGTCATCCTAGTGGTCTACATCCCTGTGGCCTTCATCCTTGTGGCCTTCATCCGTGTGCCCTTAATCCGTGTTAACTTCATCCTTGAGGCCTTTTTTTCATGTGGTCTTCATCCGTTTGGCCTTCATCCTTGTGGCCTTCATCCGTGTTGCATTCATCCGTGTGGCCTTCATCCGTAAGGCTTTAATACTTGAGGTCTTGATCCGTGTGTCCATTATCCTTGTGGTCTTCTTTCGTGTGACCTTCATTCAAGTGCCCTTCATCCATGTGGCCTTAATCCTTGTGGTCTTCATCCGTGTGTCCTTCATCCCTGGGGCCCTTCGTCCTTAGGTTTTTATCTTTGAGGCCTTCATCTCTATGGCCCTCATCCTTGAGGTCTACTTCACTGTGGCCTTAATCCGTGTTGCCTTAAACCTTGAGGCCTTCACACGTGTGGCCTTCAACCTTGTGGCCGTCATCCTAGTGGTCAACATCCTTATGGCACTCATTCCTGAAGCCATTATCCATGTGGCCTTCCTCCATGTAGCCTTCATCCATGTGGCCTTCAAACGTGTGGGCCTCAACCTATATGGCCGTCATCCTAGTAGTCTCCATCCGTGTAGCCTTCATCCGTGTTGCCTCCATCCATGAGGTCTTCACCCGTGTGACCTTCATCCTTGTAGCTTTCATTTGAGTGGCCTTCATCCGTATGGCGCTCATCCGTGTGGCCTTCATCCGTGTGGCCGTTTTCCATGTGGTCTTCATCCATGTGGGCTTTATCCTTGGGGCATTATTCAGTGTGGCCATCATCCTGGTGGCCATTTTCTATATTGCCCTTGCCCTTGTGGTCGTCATTCTAGTGGTCTTCATCCTTGTAGCATTCATCCCTATAGCCTTCATCCGTGCAACGTTCAACCGTGTGGCCTTCATCCGTGTGGCATTTTTCCATGTGGCCTTCATCCGTGTGGCAGTCATCCGTGTGGCAGTCATCCTAGTGGTCTACATCCTTGTGACCTTCATTTGTGTTGCCTTTATCCGTGTGACCTTCATCCATGTGGTCTTCTTCCGAGTGTGGCCTTCATCCTTATAGCCTTCATCTGTGTGGCCTTCATCTTATTGGTCTACATCCCTGTGGCCTTCATACGTGTGGCCTTCATCCTTGTTGCCTTCATCTGTGCTTCCTTCATCCGTGTGTCCTTCATCCGAGTGACCTTCATCCATTTGGCCTTTTTCCATGCAATCTTCATCCGGGTGGCCTTCATTCTTGTGGCCTTCATAGTTATGGTTTCCATCCTTGTAGCCTTAGTCCGTGTAGCCTTTTTCCGTGTGGCATTCTTTCATGTTGTCTTCATCCGTGTGGCCTTCATCCTTGTCGCGTTCATCTTTGGGGGCCTTCATCCATGTGACCTTATACCATTTGGTCTTCATCCAAATGGCCTTCATCCTTGTGGTCTTCATCCATGTGGCTTTCATCTGTGTGGCCTTCATCCTAGAGGCCTTCATCGGTTTGGCCTTCATCTGTGCGGCAATAATACTTGAGGCCTTCATACGTGTGGTCTTCAAATTTGTTCCCATCATCCATATTGCCTTCATCGTTGAGGCCTTCATCCTTGTGGCCTTCATCTGGGTGGCCTTCATCCTTGTGGTCTTCATCTTCGTGACCTTCATGCTCGTGACTTTCATCCATGTAGTTTTCATCCTCGTGGCCTTCATCCATGTGGCTTCCATCCTTGTGGCCTTCATCTTTGGGGCCTTCATCCTGTAGGCATTCATCCTTGTGGCCTTTATCAGTGTAGCCTTCATCCATGTGGCCTTCATCCTTTTGGCCTTCATCCTTGGGGCTTTCATCCTTGTAGCCTTCATCCGTGTGGTCTACATCCTTGTGGCCTTCTTCCTTGCGGCCTTCATTCGCGTGGTCTTCCTCTGTGTATCCTTCATCCATGTGGCCTTCATCTGTGTGGCCTTCATCTTTGACGGCTTCATCCGTATGACCTTCATCCGTGTGGCCTTCATCCATGTGGCCTTTTTCCATGTGTTCTTCATCCGAGTGGCCTTCATCTGTGTGGCCGTCATCCTAGTGGTCTACATCCCTGTGACCTTCATCCATGTGGCATTTATCTGTGTAGCCTTCACCTGAGTGGCCTTCATCCTTATGGCCTTCATATCTGTGGTCTACATTAGTGTGGCTTTCATCCTTGTGGTCTTCATCCTTTTGGCCTTCATCCTTGTGGCCTTCATCCTTGTTGCTTTCATCCGTATGACCTTCATCCTTCTGGCCTTCATCCTTCTGGCCTTCATTCGTGTAGCCTTCATCCAAATGGTCTACATCTCTGTGACCTTCGTGCTTCTAACCTTTATCCGTGTGGCCTTCATCCTTGTTGACTTCATTGGTGTGGTCTTCATCTGTGTGGCCTTCATCCTTCTGGCTTACATCCGTGTGTGGCGTTCATCCTTGTTGCCTTTTTTTATGTGGCCTTTTTCTGTGTGATCTTCATCCGTGTGTGGCACTCATCCGTGCGGCCATCATTTGTGTGGCCTTCATCCGTGTGGCTTTCATCCGTGTGGCCTTCATCTGTGTGGCCTTCATCCGATTAGCCTTCATCCTTGTGAACTTTTTCCATGTGGTCTTCATCCGAGTGGCCTTCATCTGTGTGCCTTATTCTGTGTGGCCTTGATCCTTGGGACTTTTTTTCATGTGGTCTTCATCCGTGTAACCATCATCCGTTTGGCCTTCATTCTACTTGCCTATATACAATTGGTTTTCATCATTGTGTCCAGCATCCGTATTGCCTTTATCCATGAGGCCTTCATCCTTCTGGCCTTCATTAGTGTGGTTTTCATCCTTGTTGTCTTCATCCTCGTGGCCTTCAAGCTCATGACTTCCATCCGTGCTGCCTTCGTTCTAGTGGTCTACATCCCTGTGGCCTTCATCCGTGTGGCATTTATCTGTTTAGCCTTCATCTGGGTGGACTTCATCCGTCTGGCCTTTATCCGAGTGGCGTTCATCTGTTTCGCCATTTCCCTGAGGTCTTCATCCGTGTGGCCTTCATCCATGTTGCCTTCATCTTTGAGGCCTTTATTCTTGTAACTTTCATCCGTGTGGCCTTCATCCATGTGATCTTCATCCGTGTGGCCTTCATCCTTGTAGCCTTCATCTTTATGGCCTTCATCCTTGTGCACTTTTTCCATGTGGCCTTCATCCGTGTGGCCGTTATCCTACAAGCCTTGATCCGTATTGTCATCATCCTTGTTGCCAAAGTCCATGTGGCCTTTGTCCGTGTGGCCTTCATCCTTGAGGTCTTTTTCCATGTAACATTTTTCCATATGGTCTACGTCCGTGTGGCCTTCATCCGTGAGGCCTTCATCCGTGTGGCCTTCATCCGTGTGGCCTTCATCCGTGTGGCCTTCATCCGTGTGGCCTTCATCCTTTGGGGCTTCATCCGTGTGGCTTTCTTCCTTGTGTTCTTCATCTTCATGGCCTTCATGCTCGTGACTTTCATCCGTGTGGGCTTCATCCTTGTAGCCTTCATTCATGTGGTCTTAATCTGAATTTTCTTCTTCCGTGTGGCCTTCATCCTTGTGGCCTTCATCCTTGTGGCCTTCATCCTTGTGGCCTTCGTCCTTGTAGTTTTCATCCTTGTGGCCTTCATCTATGTGGCCTTCATCCTTGTGGTCTTCTTCCGTGTGGCTACATCCTTGTGGCTTTCATCCGTCCATCCATCATCTGTTTGGTCTCCATCCTTGTGCCCCTGTTCCGTGTGACCTACATCCATGTAGCCTTCATCCTTGTAGCCTTCATCTACGTGGCCTTCATTCCAGTAGCCTTCATCCTTGTAGCCTTCATCTACGTGGCCTTCATTCGAGTAGTCTTCATCAGGATGAACTTCGTCCTTGAGGCCTTCATCCGTGTGGCCTTCATCCTTTTTGCCTTCATTCGTGAGACCTTCATCTGTGTGGCAGTCATACTTGTAGCCTTCATCTGTGTGGTCTTCATCCGTGTGGCCTTCATCCATGTGGCCTTCATCCTTCTGGCCTACATACGTGTGGCGTTCATACTTGTAGCGTTTTTCAATTTAGCCCTTTTCTATGTGATCTTCATCCGTGTGGCACTCATTCGTGTGTCTTTCATTCGTGTGGCCTTCATCCGTATGGCTTTCATCCTTGTGGCCTTTATCCGTGTGGCCTTCTTCCGTGTGGCCTTCATCCATTTGACCTTCATCCTTGTCGCCTTTTTCCATGTGATTTTCATCCATGTGGCCTTAATCCATGTGCGTTCATTCGTGTGGCCTTCATCCCTGTGGACTTTTTTATGTGGTCTTCATCCGTGTAACCTTCCTCCGTGTGGCCTTCATCCTTGTTGCCTACTTACAATTGGTCTTCATCTTTGTGTCCATCATCCTTATTGCCTTCATCCATGAGGCCTTCATCCATGAGGCTTTCATCCTTCTGGCCTTCATCCGTGTTGCTTTTATCCTTATGGTCTTCATCTTCGTGACCTTCATGCTCGTGACTTTCATCCGTGTAGCCTTCATCTATGTGGTCTTAATCTGAATTTTCTTCATATGTGTGGCCTTCATCCTTGTGGCCTTCATCCTTGTGGTCTTCATCCTTGTGGTCTTCATCCTTGTGGTCTTCATCCGTGTGGTCTTCATCCATGTGGACTTCATCTTTGTGGCCTTCATTCTTGTGGTCTTCATCCGTGTGGTTTCATCCTTGTGGCTTCCATCCGTGCATCCTTCATCTGTTTGGTCTTCATCCTTGTGTCTCTGTTCCGTGTGGTCTTCATCCTTGTGTCTCTGTTCCGTGTGGCATTCATCCATGTGGCCTTCATCCTTGTGGCCTTCATATTTGGGGCCTTCATTCTTGTGGCTTTCATCCGTGTGGTCTTCATCTTTGTAGCCTTCATCCATGTGGTCTTATTCTGAATTTTCTCCATATGTGCTGCCTTCATCCTTGTGGTCTTCATCCTTGTGGTCTTCATCCATGTGGCCTTCTTTGAGGTCTTCATCTTTGTGGCCTTCATCCATCTGGTCTTCATCCGAGAAGCCTTCATCCATGTAACCTTCATCTACGTGGCCTTCATTCGTGTAGCCTTCATCCATGTGGTGTCATCCGGATGGAATTCGTCCATGTAGCCTTCATCCGTGTGGCCTTCATTCTTGTTGCCTTCATCCGTGAAGCCTTTATCTGTGTGGCAGTCATCCCTGTAGCCTTCATCCGTGTGGCCTTCGTCCTTGTAGCCTTCATCCGTGTGGTCTTCATCCATGTGGCCTTCATCCGTGTGACCTTCATCCTTCTGGCCTACATCCGTGTAGCGTTAATACTTATGGCCTTTTTCCATATAGCCTTTTTCTATTTTACTTGTCGCGTTCAACCCGGTAGCCTTCATCCGTGTAGTCTTCATCCGCGTGGCCTTCATCCATGTGGTCTTTATCCGTGTGGCCTTCATCCTTGTAACCTTCGTCTGTGTGGCCTTCATCCGTGTGGCCTTCACCTTTTTTGTCTTATCCGTGTGGCCTTCATCCGTATGGCTTTTATCAGTGTGGCCTTCATCTTTGTAGCTTTCATCCGTTTGGCCTTCATCCGTGTGGTATTTTTCTGTGAAGCATTCATCTGGGTGGCCTACATCACTGTGGCCTTCATTCGTGTGACCTTCATGCATGTGGCCTTCATCCATATGGCCTTCATCCCTGAGGCCTTCATCCTTGTAGCCTTCATCCTTGTAGCCTTCATCAGTGTATCCTTCATCCGTGTAGCCTTCTTCCGTGTGGCCTTCATCCATGTGGACTTCATCCAAGTGACCTTCATCCTTGATGCCTTCATCTGTGTGGCCTTCATCCGTGTGGCCCTCTTCCATGCGGACTTCAACTGTGTGCCCATTTTCCATCTGGTCTTCATCTATTTGGCCTTCATCCTTGTGGCCTTCATCCACGTGGCCTTTACTCATGTGGCCTTTTTCCATGTGGTCTTCATCTGTTTGGCCTTCATCCTTGTGGCCTTCATCCACGTGGCCTTTACTCTTGTAGCCTTTTTCCATGTGGCCTTTACCCTTGTGGCCTTTTCCCATGTGGCCTTCATCTGTGTGGCCGTCATCCTAGTAGCCTTCATCTGTATGGTCTTCATCCTTGTTGCCTAAATCCATGTGGCCTTCGTCAGTGTGGCCATCATTCTTGAGGCCTATTTCCATGTGGCCTTCATCCGTGAGGCCTTCATCTGTGTGGCCTTCGTCCTTGTGGCCGTGTTGTCTTCATCTTTGTGTCCATCATCCGCATTGCCTTTATTTTTTAAGCCTTCATTCATTTGGTCTTCATCTGTGTGGCCTTCCTTGTGGTCTTCATCTTCGTGACCTTCATTCTCGTGACTTTCATTCGTGTGGCCTTCATCCTTGTGGCCTTTATCCTTGTGGTCTTCATCTGTATTTTCTTCATTCGTGTATCCTTCATTTTTAGGCCTTAATCCATGTGACCTTCATCCTTGTTTCTTTCATCCTTGTTTCTTTCATCCTTACGGTCTTCATCCGCATGGCTTCATCCTAGTGTCTTTCATCCATGAACCATTCATCCGTTTGGTCTTCATCCTTGTGACACTGTCCCGTATGGCCTTCATCCGCGAGGCCTTCATCCTTGTAGCCTTCATCAGTGTGGCCTTCATTCGTGTAGCCTTCATCCATGTGGTTTTCATCCGTGTTGCCTTCGTGCTTGGTGCCTTCATCCGTGTGGCCTACATTCTTGTTACTCTCATCCATATGGCCTTCATCTGTGTGGCCATCTTCCTTTTAGCCTTTATTCGTGTGGCATTCATCCTTGTAGCCTTCATCCGTTTGGTCATCATCCTTCTGGCTTTCATCCGTGTGACCTTCATACTTGTGGTCTTCATCCGTGTGGCCTCATCCTTCTAGCCTTCATCTTTGTGTCCTTTATCCGTGCGGCCTTCATCCGTGTGGCGTTCATGCGTTTCACCTTTTTCCATGTGGTCTTAATCCGTTTGGCCTTCATCCATGTTGCCTTGATCTTTGAGGCCTTCATCCTTGTAACCTTCATCCGTGTAGCCTTCATTCGTGTGGCCTTCATCCATGAGGTCTTCTTCTGCGTAGCCTTCATCCTTGTAGCCTTTTTCTGTGTGGCCTACATCCGTGTGGCGTTCATTCGTGTGGCCTTCATAAGTGTGGACTTTTTCCACGTGGTCTTCATGCGAGAGGCCTTCATTCTTGTGGTCTTCATCAGTGTGCCTTCATCCGTGTGCCTTATTCCGTGTGGCCTTCATCCTTGGGCATTTATCTGTGTTGCCTTCATCCGTGTGTCCTTCATCCGTGTGGACTTTTCCCATGTGGTCTTCATGCTTGTGGCCTTCATTCTTGTGGTCTTCATCCATGTGGCCTTCATCCGTGTGGTATTTATCTGTGTTGCCTTCATCAGGGTGGCCATCATCTGTGTGGCCTTCATCCTTATGGTCTACATCCGTGTGACCTTAATCCTTGTAGCCTTCATCTGTGAAGCCTTCCTCCGTGTAGCCTTCATGGGTGTGGCGTTCATCCGTTCGGCCTTTTTCCATGTGGTCTACATTACACGTGGCCTTTATCTTTGAGGCCTTCACCCATGTAACCTTCATCCGTGTAGCCTACATCCGTGTGGCGTTCATCCATGTGGTCTTCATCCGTGTTGCCTTCATCCTTGTAGCCTTCATCTGTGTGACCTTCATCCATGTGGTATTCATGCGTGCGGCCATTTCCCATGTGGTCTTAATCCGGTTGACCTTCACTCTTGTGGCTCTTCCCATGTGGCCTTCATCCATGTGGCCATCATCGTAGTAGCCTTCATCCCTATGGCCTTCATCCGTATGGCCTTCATCCCTGTTGCCTAAATCCATGTGGCTTTCGTCCGTATGGCCTTCATCCTTGAGGCCATTTTCCATGTGGAATTTTTCCATGTAGTCTTTATCCGTGTGGCCTTCATCCGTGAGGCCTTCCTCCGTGTGGCCTTCATCCATGTTACCTTCATACATGTGGCCTTCATCCGTGTGGCCTCATCCTTGTATCCATCATCTTTATGTCCTTTATCCATGAAGCGTTCATCTGATTGGCCTTTTACCATGTGGTCTTAATCTGTGTGGCCTTCATTCATGTTGCCTTCATCTTTGAGGCCTTCATCCTTCTAACCTTCATCCGTGTAGCCTTCGTCTGTGTTGCCTACATCCGTGTGGCGTTCATCCATGTGGCCTTCATCAGTGTGGACTTTTTCCATGTGGTCTTCATGCGTGTGGCCTTCATTCTTGTGGTCTTCATCCGTGTGGCCTTCATCCGTGTGCCTTATTCCGTGTGGGCTTCATCCTTGGACATTTATCTGTGTTCCCTTCATCTGGGTGGCCTTCATCCGTGTGGCCAATTTCCACGTGGTCTTAATCCGGATTTCATCCTAGAGGCTTTCATCCATGTGTCCTTCATCCGTGTGGTCTTCCTCCTTGTGGCCTTCATCCGTGTGGCCTTCATCATTGTGGCCTTCATCTGTTTGGCGTTCATCCACATGGTCATTTCCTTGTGGCCTTTTTCCAAGTCTTTCTCATCCGTATAGCCTTCATCCGTGTGGCCTTTATCTTTGTGGCCTAAGTCCGTGTGGCCTTCATCTGTGTGGCCTTCTTCCGTATAACCTTTTTCCATGTAGCCTTAATCTGTTTGTCTTTTATCTGGGTTGCCTTCATCCTTGTGGACTTATTCCATGTGGTCTTCATTCATGTAGCCTTCTTCCGTGTGGCCTTCATCCTTTTTGCCTAACTTCATGTGGCCTTCTTCCGTGTGGCCTTCATCCTTTTTGCCTAACTTCATGTGGCCTTCATCCGTGAAGTCTTCATCCGTTTGGCCTTTTCTATGTTTTCTTCATCCGTGTGGCCTTCATCCTTGTGGCCATCACCCATGTGGCCTTCATCCTTGCTGTCTTTTTCCGTGTGGCCTTCATCCTTGCTGTATTTTTCCATCTATCCTTTTTCTAAGTGATCTTCATCCGTGTGGCCTTCATCCGTG